TGCAAGGCTCTAGGATACAACTAGCTTTGAGTAACTGAATTAATTCTATTTTGGAGGAGGTATAGTCGATAGAAATGTTTCATCATGGCACTAACATGGTCCCATTTGACTTTCTTCCATAGTTGAAAGTTTGATGATTACCCCCTTCTTGCCTGTTGTAGCATTTGGACGACCATTACCAAAATTAACTCCACAGTAAGTATAAAGTTCCCCCTCTTCCCATCAGCTACCTCCCTTTCAGACTTCAGAAAGCCTGGCTATAAGGTGGGAACAGATGGTTTAGGTGTATCTTTGATAGCAGCCATGGTTCTTTGACAAACATGAGGCTACCCTGGGCAACTGGCTTTTAGGGTGATAACATTCCCAAACCAGGAATTAGGAGTACTATGTTTTGAGTTAGATTATTCAGTCATTTTAATGGTATTTTGTTGCTCAAGTTTTAAGGCAGAAAAGTCACTTCAAACTTGGGACTCAGGAGTCAGGACTAAGAGTAGTGAGGAGCATGGTAATCATCGTGGAATTACTGTCATGTCCACACTGAATCCCTTTTAGTCTTGCAAGGTAACTTCCTTATCCTTTTTTTGCCAGGAATTTTGAGCTGCCCTGGTTGGATGAGCGTAGCCGATGCAGATTGGAGATCCAGAAGAAGCAAACACCTCATCGGACGTGTAGGAAATAGCTGTGCTGGCAAGAGCCTGCTGTCTTCAGATAGTTGTAGCATGCCATTCCCAGAGAGTGGCAGAGACCTGTATATGTGACCTGTGTCCTCATACATGTTATCATTCACTGATAATACCTTTCCATACACCCTTGATTTTGGTTTTGTTTTCATCACTCTGATTTTACAAAAGCTCTTTCATTGGGCTAATTGTGAGTTATGGAGGATGATTAGGGTTTCTTTTCCCTTTTTGGGGGAACAAGCTCTCAAGCTAAATCTATAGGATGGCAGATTTGGAAGCATCAGGGGTCTGCAGCTATTCATTTGCCTGTGGCAAAGTGCTCTCTTCATTACACTTATGGAAGAGGAAGCAACCCCTGCTTTTAAAGCTGCGCCTGCATGGCACTCTTCTCACCCTGGTATGCCCTTCCCTATTGTTTGGGTATAGTGGTTTTTACCCTAAAACAAAACAGAACTCACCATGAGCTTAAGAACCAGATGAGGAAATAATAAGTGATAAAGCAAGTCTTCGCAGAATAGAAAGGCGACTGGAGAGTTCATAGATAAATGTCTAAAAAGGTAGTTGTTCTCTTAAAACTATTCTGTGATGAGCCATGTGGGGAGGAATGTTTGGCTCTTACTATTTTCTTCCTTGATGGGTAACTGAATTTCTTACCCCACCCCTCAAAAAACAGCATCTTTGGAAAAGGTAATGAGGATGGTTCATTTCAGACAAGTTAATGGCAGTAAACAAAAGCAGTTGTTATTCAAGGATGGTGTGCCAGAAGCCATATGGATGTCCTTGTGTCACATCACTTGTCAAGTATTCCTTGTTGGGCTTTATCCTTTTAGCTGAGCTCTTGGTGGTGAGGTAGAGGTTTAGGGAGGGTGGGGGTGTGGAAATAACATGCTTCATTTGGCTGGCAAACGTCTACTACATCTTGAAACAAACAGATGTACCTATTGAGCTTCTCCATTCACTTTGTAAAAATACATTTGTATGTGTTCCATCTTGTTGTTTTTTTTTTCCCCCATTTTGTTAAAAAAAATAATAATTCAGGACAGCACTCCCAGGCCACTTTGGTCTCAGTGTAAAATCTTTGTAACTATCTGGAAGGAAAATAGAGCCAAGATCTCTGATCTTAACTATATAGGAATTGCCTTTCATTAGTCTGCAGGACTATTGTATGAAAAGAAGTGTAGGGGTCTAATCTCCTAGAAGGTAGGGGCTTTTATCCTTGAAGAGAGTATGTCCCCAGATCATTAGCACTTTTAGAGGAGAAGCCAAGGTTTGTAGGATGTGTGGCCGGCCCATCAGTGGAGCATGAGAGAATGGGATACCATTGTGGGAAGAGAAGAAAAGTTTCTCAGGGGCCTCCTGCTGCTAAAGCTTTTTGTGATAACATTGATCTGTGCTCCCTGAGTGTAACTTTTAAAGGAATTATTCTGGCAGCACATGTAGTATTCTTGGATGACCTTGCTGCTCTTATTTCTCCTTTTTTGTGTGTTTGTGTTCATTTGTAACTCCATCTGCTTAGGAGAGTGGGCTCTCCACAAAGGAACCTGCTGTGAACTTTATTGCAGCAAGGATGTAGAGAGAAATAGGACTTACTCAACTAAGGGCTCTCATCTCACACCTTAAGGAGAGGAAGGAGATTTCTTGAAAAATTGGGCCAGATTTTCTTTGTTGTCCATCATTTTAATATGGCAAGCTATTTAGCTTTCCTACTTTGACCTAAGTTGTATTCCTTCAAAATGTGCCCCCAGATTAAAAAAGACAAACAGTGTCTTTATTCTTGATTCACCTAAGTTTCTTCTTGATTTTCAGCATTTGTTGGATTCCTAAGTTGGATATGGGTTAGCAAATTTAACCTTTACGTTTATATCCTACCCAGGGGATTCCCTGCATTCTGAATTTGAGCTAGACTGAGAGGAATCCATGAGGTGCTATCTGGCCTGACTTAAGTGGATTCTGTTTCCTTGGTTCACTCTTTCCCTGAGGACCTCTTGTTTTATTGTTCCCTCTTTTAGATCAATTCTCCTTTGATTCGGGTATAGTGAGGTTTGTTGAGGAGGTTGGAGAGTAGATTAGAAAAGTTCAAAAAACAAAATTACAGTGTGTTAGAGTGTGGGGGAAAAATTAGTCTTATTTTTCCCTAAATGGGATACAAAACTGTGAAATTCAATCTTCAACAGAAAGCCCTGCAGTTCTCCTAAAACATAGTTCTTTATCTTTCTTTAACCAAGTTTAAGCTAGTGTTAATAAATTAAAAAGAGAAATTGCTTGTCTGTCCACTTCAGCTTTGTTTTACACCCATTTCATATTGTTGTCTGTGTTGTAATTCATACTTTTGATACCATTTCTGATGTGTAAAATTGGTTGTCTTGTAAATATCTTATAAAGAGTTCAATTGTAAATAAACTATTGTGGCTGTTAATTTTTTGAATTTCTGTTTCACTTTATTACATTTATTGGGAAGCATTAAACAATTCTGCTTGTATATTTTAAAAGATTAAAAAAGAAATTCATTTCCACAAAATAGAGAAACATTTTCCCTTTCATATAAGGTATTTACTTCCATCTATGTATGATCACAATGTATGTTTCATCCCTTTGCCCCTGTTCCTCTTGATACTACTAGAAACTTTAAAAACAGGAGACTAGCATGCTTAATGCCTGCATCTAAGTTACCATGGTTGGAAAGAGCTTACAAATCATCTAGTCTGACCCGTGATAAACAATTTTTCCTTGACAACATTCCAGACAAATGAAGTCCAACTTTTGTTTCAACACTTTGTTTTCTCCTATACATTGTTTTCTAAATGTTAGAATGTTAGGAAATTCTTTCTCAAACCAGTTGGTTCTTGCTTTGCCTTCCAGGAGATTAAAATGAAGACCAATTCCTTCTTTTCCTCGTAGTACCTTTAATTAAGATTGCTATCCCAGGTCTTCATGCTAAACATTCATAGACCTTTGCAATTGTTCCTCAAAAGACTTTGAATTTTTCTTTGCCCTCTGGGTGAGTGAGCATTTTGCTCATGTCCATTTAAGAATTGGACTCAGACCAAACAACTGAAGGCTGAGGTGGTGGACTCTTTCCTTATTTAGATTCTAAACTTGGCAGTCTCATTTACACCAATTTAGCTGTGATCAGTAACATCCTTTAAGTCTTTTTTTTAAAAAAACAAACACCAAATCATACATCCTCCATTTTTAACTCAGGCAGGTGGTTTCTGGAGCTGGATTTACAAGTTACCACATTTGGCCACTGGCCCATCCTGTTGAGATGTTTGGAAGGCAGCTATACTAACCACTATACCACCAACACATGTTGAGATGTTTGTATTCTGATTGACTTTCTGTAGGCATGTATCATGCTTTCCAGTTTCACATTGTCTACACCTTTGGTTAACATCAGGATCCTCAATCCTATCTGTAAAAATATTAGGGCAGAATTCTGTGCTATGCAGAATTCTGTGCTATGCCTCAGTGCCCCTTCTCTAATAACGTGCACTCCTGTAGGTGAACTAATAACTTGTTTCCCATAATTTGCATGTCCATTTGGTCAAAAGAAAATACACCATTGCTGACAAAGGCCTTGCGAAAATGAAAGCATTCTCTTCATCTACCAGTCTGGTAACCCTTACCAAGAAGGTAATTATAACAGCTAGGATTTTGAACGCACCACGGTTCTAATGATTCTCTTGTTAAATCTTGCTTAAGACTGGCATTAAACTAGCCTACATTTTGAGAGAGGTGATAGCTAGGGTGGGATGCCACAGGAAGATGAAAAGAGCTGCAACAGACCTCTAGTTTCACTGCAACCAGCCCTCTAGCTTAAATTGGGTTGGTATGGCAAATCTGACGCAGCACAACAGCTTTAGAGATTTACCTTGATTGGTGATTTTACCAAGCAAACGAATGCAGTAGAATGATCTGTCTCAAACGTAGATGGAAGCGAGAAATGGAAATAGAAAAAAAAAAAAAAAAAACCCAACGTTGCAGTAAGACTGTGACAGGTTGACGCCTTCCATTCAGAAAACCCAAGATGGCCAGGCGGGGAAGCGGGATAGGTTACCCGCGTCCACCTCCCCTCGCCAGGGCCTACTCAGAGAAGTTAGGGACCGCACCACGCCCCCCGCACACATCTGCAAACGTAATCCCAAGTCGCCCTCAAATTTGCCGCAGGGAGCCGGCACTACCCCCAGCCCCGCCCACTGGGAAGCGGAACAGCAAAGGCCGCACGTGAAGCATGCCGGGACTTCATCTCGAGCCTCCCAGCTGTCTCTGCGCCGGGCGCGGTGCGTAAGGAGTTGGCCGGTGGCGGCTGTTCTCCGTAAGATGGCGGACCGACGGCGACAGCGCGCCTCGCAGGACACCGAGGACGAGGAGTCTGGAGCTTCGGGCTCAGATAGTGGCGGCTCCCCGGCGCGGGGCGGCGGGAGCTGCAGCGGTAGCGCTGGAGGCGGGGGCAGTGGCTCTCTTCCTTCCCAGCGCGGAGGCCGAGCGGCCCTCCATCTGCGGCGGGTGGAGAGCGGGGGGGCCAAGAGCGCCGAGGAGTCGGAGTGTGTGAGTGCCAGCCGCCGGCGGGAGGGGCCTGGAGGTCGGGCGGCCTGTGGTTAGGGGTAATGGGAAGCTGAGAGCTGATGGTAGATATTGCAGCATGTTGTGTTACAGTGTTATCCTAGTGCGGGTTTGCATCAGAGTCCCAAGGGGAGGGAGGGGATTGGGGTTTCTGGAAGGAGGGTGAAGCCGCAGCTGATGGAGAGCAGGTGTTGATTCACATATTTGGGCTGGAGGTGGAGAGAACAGCATCCCTCGGATGCTACTTGTTAAAGATGCAATATTCCCCATTTCTCTTTCCAACCATTTTGTTTCAAGCCATCAGCTTCGCACCCACATTTATTGTTGGGGTCTGAAAACCCAGAACTAACCCATATCTTCTCCTTTCCTTCAGGAGAGTGAAGATGGCATCGAGGGCGATGGTAAGTACCATCTTTTACCCCACGACGACAAGAGTTTTTAAAAGCACATCAACACAGGTTACCTATTTCCAATTACTGACATCCTCTCGGACCGTTAAAAGATTTGGAGGGGGGTGCTACAAACTGGCTCTTTTGTAGTGTATTGGTTAAGAAAGAGCATAGATTTTAGTAGTATTATCTTGGGAAGTCAGTCTCTCTGAGTTTGTATCCTCATCTGTAAAATTTTATCTGCCTCGGAGGTGGATGTCAGAATTAAATGAAAGTTTTAGCCTGACACAAAGTAAGCAGTCAAGAAATGTAATTGTGATAATTTTGTTGCCTTTTTTCCTTCATATATTTCTCTTTTCCTTCAGCTGTTCTCTCAGATTATGAAAGTGCAGAAGACTCAGAAGTGAGTGTGATAAGTTTTTTTCCTATGGTGTAGATGGGAAAGTGTATTTTATAAACATATACACACCTGGGCACACACCTGATCTTGTTGCTCTTCTTGTGCATTTTTCATTTGTACTTTTGAAAAACTGTTACAAAAGGTCTTGTTTGCTTAGAATGAGGGGAACTTGGGCCTAGCTTTTCAAGCCATGTTTGTTACGCTGTTAGTAGTTGGCTTCTTCCCTTATTTGAGGAAACTAAGGTTCTAAGTAAGAGAAACAGAACATTTTGACTGAAAAACCTGAATGGAAATACTAAGAATGTTCATGCACTATGAAAGATGTAACCAATGTCATGGAACAACTTACACAGAAATTGTTGAATGAAAACTTATACTGCTGTGTAAACCTTCGCTGAAAACACAGTAAAAAAAAATTTTTTTTTAATAATAATAATAAAAAAAGAACATCTTGATGCCCTCAGTGAGATATTTCATAGCTCATTTCATGCTGACTTGGTAGAAAAGGCCAGTCACAGGTTTGTGCCAAAAGCATCTCAGTTTATAGGTGGGGTTTTCACTATCTTTAGTCAAAAGTCAGGTTCCTTAAGGCAGGCTTTTGTGAGCTTGCCTGTTTTGATTGGATAAACTACTAAAGATGCCATCAGAGTGGCTGTTTCCTGTGATTGTTTTTTTTTTTTTTTAAATTTCCTTCACCCAAGTTAATACATGTCTACCTTTTAGTTAGTGGTTTACCCTCCGTCTCCCACTCACCCCTGGTAACCATCAAAGAATATTTTTTTTGTGAAACCCTTTTCTTGATTTTTCACAATAGTGGTCTCATACAATGTATCTTTTTTTTTTTGTAATTGACTGTTCACTCAGCTTAATGGCTTCTAAGTTCACCCATGTTATGAGATGTTTCAGATTCATCATTGTTCTTTAACGTTGCATAGTATTCTGGCACCTAACGACAACAACAACAGTATTGCGTTTTGTGTATGTACTACACTTTGTAGATCCAGTCTTCTGTTGAAGGGCATTTAGGTTGTTTGCATCTTTTTGTTTCTCTGAATAGTGCTGCAGTGAACATGGGCGTGCATGTATCTGTTTGTGTCATGGCTGTTTTTTCTCTAAGATATATACCTAGTAGTGGGATTGCTGGATCCTATGGTATTTCTCTTTCCAGCTTTTTAAGGAAATACCATACCATATTCCACAGAGGCTGTACCCTTTTACAGTCCCACCAACAGTATATGAGGGATCCCATCCCTCCACTCCCTTGCCAGCATTTATTGTTTTCTGGGTTTTTTTTTTTTTTACTTTGCTATTAGAGCTGAGTTGAGTTGATATCTTACTGTTTTGATTTGCATCTGTAATGGCTAACGATTGCAAGTATTTCTTCATGTCTTTGTTAGCTACCTGAACGTCCTCTTTGGTAAAATGTCTGTTCATGTTTTCTGTCCATTTTTTAATTGGATTATTTGTCTTTCTGTTGTTAATCTTAACCCCTTTATCCAGTATGCTGATTTTCCAGTATGTTAATTTTTATTAAATGTTTTCCATTTCCAGTATGTTAATTTTTATTATGATTTGGGTGAAAGTTTATAGAGCAAATTCATTTTCCATACAGCAGTTGATACACATTTTGTTTCATGACATTGACTGCAATCCCCACAATGTAATAGCTCTCTTCCCATTTCCTCCCTGTAATTACTTTTCCCTGTGTCCTTGTTTCCTATGCATTCCTGTCCCTGAGATACCTCCCTGTATAAACATTGCCTTTCTCTTCTCCTGTGATTAATCTCTGTAAGGACTGTATCTGCTTGATGTAAATGTTTACCCTGCATGCTTGTCTATTGTTTGGCCAAAACCTTGGAAGTGAGTTAATTCCAGACCTGAAGGGTAACTAGGGGCCATAGTCTTGGGGATCTCACTGGGCTCCGTCAGACTTTTTTTGATTTTGAGTTTTGTTCCACACTGTTTTCCCACTCTATTCAGGATCTCCTGTACCGATCCCTTTCTGAGTGGTTGACAGTGGTAGCCAGGCACCATCTAGTCGTTGTAGTCTCATGGTCATATAGGCTGAGGTTCACGTGGTCTCCTAGTCCGTTGGACTAAATGTTGCCATGCATCTTTGGTTTTCATTCTTCTTTACACTGGATGAGGAACGATGTGCTGTTGCCAAATTTTTTTTCCCTGATCTGTGGGGTCTCTTTTAACTCTTTTCAAGCACATAAAGGTCTAATTTTTAGGAACTCACAGTTAACTATTTTGTATTTCTTGGGATTCTTGAGTAGAGTTCTAAGTATTGGATTTTGGTGACAGGTCACATACAGGAGAATTGTATTATAGATCAAAGAATCTTTGATAAATTTTATAGAACTGTTGCTGCATCTTAGACTTTTTGTTAAGCCCTGGAGATACAACAGTGAACCACAACAGTGAACACAACAAAGTTCCTATCTTTAGTGATTTTCTGACTTTCTAAGGAAGTCAGGCAAAATTCAAGTAATCATAGGACTTGGTGACGTGGCTGAGATAGGGTTAAGTATGGTGTCATGACTGAGCACTGAATCTATTTTAGGCATTGTTACACCTGAAAAATAAGTTGTAGCGTGACAAAACATGTTCTAGACAGAGAGAACAACAGGTGAGAAAGCACAGAGACAGGAGAGAAGATGAGCATTTGGAAACCAAAAATAGTTTGGTGTGGCTGGAGTATTATTGGGGCAAAATGAGTTCCACAGATAAAGGTGAATTGGTGAACAGGGGCCACATCATGAAGGGCCTTACTTGTTCCTTCTTTTTAATAAGTATCTTCTTTGTGATAGATAAAAGTCAGATGTGGTTCTGCCTTCATTGAGTTTACATTCTGAGTTAGAAGGGGATGACAGTTAAAGTAATTCCAGGGTGGGAGGAAGGGGGAAAGAGGGAGTTATGGCTTCGGGGCTACTGGCCTTATATTATGGATGGTGAAAAGTATTAGAAACGGATAGTGATGATGTTTGCACAACATGATAAACATAATTAATGTAACTAAATTGTCTATGTAAAAAATGTTGAAATGGGAAATATTTTGTATATGAGAGGGCTGCATATACCACAGCCTAAAAATAGGACTTGAACTGGTTCTCTCCAATTTGACCCCCTGCTGAGAATTTGACTTTCTGCTGTAGATACAATGATTCGTCATTTAAATTTTGTCAAGATCTTCAAGTGATTCTTATGTCTACATAAAAATTACCCAGGGATCTTTAAGAAGCCTTGGTTGGGGGTAAAAATGTAGATTTGAGGTGGGGGGAATACAATAGTGTCAGTAAATACTACAATATTGACGATATTGGAAGTGAAGGGTGCTTTAGGGGCACATAGCAGGGCAGCTAACTCAGTTTAGGATGTATGGAAGCACTTAGAGGATGGGATGTTTAAGCAGAGACCTGAGGATTAGTAGGAATTACCCAGGCAGAACATTTTCTAAGCAGAGTGAACACTGAAAAGAAGGGATGGACTGCATGGTGAGTTGGAGGATATGAAACACATAATATGGCTGGAAAGTAAGAGGACAAGGAAGGGAGCTGAGGCTTAAAGTACCTTATATTTAGATTTTATTCCAAGGAAGTAAACTATAAAAAGATTGTGAGCAAGAGTATGTATGATTAGACTTAAATCTTAGAGCAGTGTTTGTCAGATCCAGGGAACACCTGCTTCAGAAAATCCAGTTGGCCAAACCCTACTGAAACAGAATCTGAGGGTGGGGGTACTAGTGAAACTCAGACATTTGTATTTTAATAAGATTCCAGGTTGATGTTATGCACAGTGAAGTTGGAGAATTTATAGCAGTTATTTTGTCTATGATGAGATTTGATCCAAGGGGAGCAAGATGGTGACACAAAGGCTAGTAAGAAAGCTGTTGTAGATGGAATCAACCTAGGTGTCCATCAGCTGAAGAATGGATAACCAGATTATGGTACATACACACAATGGAATACTATGCAACCCTAAAGAATAATGTAGAATCTGCAAAGCACTGCATAACATGGATCAACTTGGAGGACATTATGCTGAGTGAAATAAGTCAGCCACAGAAGGACACACATTGTATTAGTCTGTTATTGTGAAAAGTCAAGGAAATGTTTATATATGGAAGATTTTCTTTGTTGGTTACTGGTGGTGGGGAGCACTGTTAGATAGGTAGAGACAAGTACTGATTTGGGTGAAGAGAAGGGCAATGTACCAACAAATGTGAGTGACCAACATGGTGGCGTTGAGGAAGAGGAAGATAGAGAGGTACATGGGAGGTACAGACAACAAAGATGAACCCTTTTGCACATACAGTACTGCATTGTCAGTGAAGGCAAACATGGATATAAGGGTGAATAGATGGGTGGACAGGCTGAACTATTAGGTATGTCTGCAGGGGGACTGTGCCCAAGACCATGTATAGGGTTGGCAGACAATGTTTTTACAAGCATACTGATATGTTCTGTAAGAATTCCCAGCTATATAGTAGAGCTGACAAGGGACAAGGTTGTAGTCACTTCTTGGCCACAGCTATCTACCCAAGGAAGTGAGTAGTTGGACCTGTGGGCTTGGGACCATGGTCGCAGGGGACATCAAGTTTAATTGGCATAACATAGTATATAAAAACATTGTTCCACATCCTAGTTTGGCAAGTAGCGACTGGGATCTTAAAAGCTTGCAAGCAGCCATCTAGATGCAATGATGGGTCTCTTCTCATCCAGAACAAAGAAGAATGAAGAAAACCAAAGATTCATGGAAACAATTAGTCCAAGTGATTGGTACACCATGCAGTCCTCAACCTATATGACTGTGAGACCAGAAGAACTAGATGATGCCTGGTTACCACTGTCAACTACTTGGAGGGGCATCTATGTAGGAGATCCTGGATAGAATGGGAGAACAAAAAAAAAGAGGGACCAGGTTTGTTGGTCTGATAGAGCCTTATGGAACCACTGAGACTGTGGCCCCTAGCTGCCCTTCAGGTCTGGATATGAACCCAC